AAACTTTGCCAAACATGCTGACTTCTCGGATAATATTGTCAGGATTTGTTCCTTAGAAGGTTTGAAGCTCAGACTTGGATGTGTTTGTACTTTTTAAATGGAAAAATTATGAACTTGATTTTTTTTCACCTTATATCACTGCCATGAACAACATAAAAGTTGCTTACTGCACATCTGGCAAAACTGTAATTCAGTGATCTGCAGGACCACTCCGTCATGATAGGATGGAGGATCCCAGTGTCTGAATTGAACAGAATGGACAAAGGGGCAGGAAAGAGCAATGCATTTGGTATGTATATATGAAGAGATCCACTGTATTGTAAAAATTCTAGTCATTTCCTCTGGCAGGTCCAATTTTGGGTACCTTTTAGAGAAAGAAATACCAACCAAGCATGCAATATTGTGTTTTAAAATATGGGCCTTGGGTTTTAGTGAAAGATTAGACATTCTGCAGAATGGTGATGAATGGAGCTATGTGCTCAGATCAATACATCTTGCCATAGTGGAAAAACACACACATTACTTTATAGGGATTTCATCTCATAATAAGCTGATATCATGTGTGAACTATTCTTGGATAGTTCACACAGAACTCGTTCTGGTAGAGACTTGTTTGTGCTTTCAGTCTTGCAACACCAACTGACACCTTTATACAAATATCAGAATTATAATGATTATACAGAATTACAGTGGTGTCCCGCTTGACAACGACCCCACTTGACGACAAAATCACTTGATGACGAGTTTTTTGTGATCGCAAAATGATGATTCTTATGGGGTTTTTTCACTTTACGATGATTATGTCCCTGTTTTGCGAACTGATTTTTCACAAGACAATTAAAAACAGCTGATCAGTGGTTTGCAAAATGGCTCCCCGCTGTTTTCTGGAGCTATTTCCGCAAGACAGGGATCACAAAATGGCCGCTCTATGGAGGATCTTTGCTGCACGAGCAGGTATTTTCCCCATTGGAACGCATTAACCGGTTTTCAATGCATTCTAATGGGTTTTTTCCCCACTTGACGATGATTTCGCTTAACAGCAATTTTCCTGGAACGGATTATCGTCGTCAAAGGGGGCACCACTGTACACTGTTTACGTGAATACAACAGTAGGATACAATTGCTATTTTATATTTTTGAGAATAAAGAGTTTACTGTAAGCACCTCCAGTGTAAGAAATGTCAGTTCGACCTTTCCCCTTATCTTCCCAGTCTACTTGGCTCCCAACTGGGAGGGGGGCAATGAAGCGTCCTTGCAATGTTTATGAGAATCACTTACCCAGCCGGACAAGAATGTCTGAAGCAGCATTTTCACTAAATGGGCCTCTCACATGGTAGCCTGAATATAATAATGGAAGCATAAAGCCTTCTTTAGAGGAAATATATCGAAAAAGGAAAAAGGTGATATAATTTTAATTTCAACTGTACTATGAATATGCTTTAAGCAACTCTTTATATTTCATTGGAACACACCCATTGTTTTCTATACCTTCCATTCTGCAGGTAGTAACAACAACAACAACTACTGGCCACCAGAGGTCACTATCTTTCCATAAGAAAGCAGCTATCCTAGCACGGCTGCCTAGAAATTACCCAAGTCCTCCTTACAAAGATGCCAGTATGGTTCTACTGCCACACACAGAACCTAGAGAGTGACTTTAAAATTGAAAATTTGTTACGTTGATTATTTTTTCTACAGATGAGGGCAAGCCAAATTGTTCAGCATTGGTCTGATATATTATCCTATGGTTTCAAGAGCCAACTTAAGACCTGGCTCTTTAGGCAGGCTTTCCCTCCTGTCATCACTTGATTATTTCCCCCCCCCATCTTGAACCATATTACAGTGGTGCCTCACTTAGCAAGGTTAATCCGTTCCGGATTAACCCTTGCTCAGCGAATCCATCGTTAAGTGAAATAAAAAAGCCCATAGGAACGTATTAAAACTGATTTAATACGTTCCTATGGGCTTAAAACTCACCGTTCTGTGAGTTTCCTCCACTGCGGCGGCCATTTTGGATGCCTCGTTAGCGAGGCAAAACAGCGGTCACCATTTTGTTTTAGCGGTGGCCATTTTGGAACCGCCGATCAGCTGTTCGCTATGCTTTGATCGCGTCCGCGCGATCATCACATAGCGAAAAAAGCCCATAGGGGCCATCGCTGAGCGAACGCTCCAGCGATGGCCCGGGACCCCTCGTTGTGCGGTTTCATCGCATAGCGAAGCGCTCGCTATGCGAGGCACCCCTGTACTATTGTTGCTTTTTATTTCATTATACTGTTTTTATTCAATTTTTATTGTTAGCTACCCAGAGTAGACTTGTGTCCAAATGGGTGGGGTATAAACAAACAAACAAACAAACAAACAAACAAACAAACAAACAAACAAACAAAATATAATAGCATGTATATCAGACTTGCAAATTAAGGCCACGTTTGCCTTCAAGTCATGAATTACAAAATAATACATGCTATATGCACGATATAACAAGCAGGCACTTTTCACAACTTAGAAGAACACCTATACAAAAAGTAAATGAACATATTAGCAATTTAATACTCAGTGTTTGCATTACCTAGAACTAAATTAAACTAAACATTTAAATATGAAAACAAAAGTTCAAACTTTTTTCTTTAAAGTTCAAGCTTTATTTGTAACTACAGCTTTTACATAAACAGAATGATATATACAAGAATTACCTACAGTGTGAATTTATCTTGCTAAATATTTATATTTTTATTGCTAAAATATTGAAGAGATGAGAAAATACTTCAAGTTTTTTTTAAAAAACGAGCCTACCATTCAACTACAAATTTTTAAGAATTACAAATTGCTTTAGTATTAATTCAAAATACAAATATTCTGCAAATCTGTTTCTGTGCTCCTAAAATATATCTCATATTAGAAAAAAGTATGATGTCAGAATGTTTCATTTCAACACAGATCAAAAGAAAACCTTCTGAGAAATCCATGTGATACCCTGACATTAACAGAGAAAACCCAGAGTATGATCTGCCCTGCAACAGCACATGTTCAAAGGAATCCTTCTGACCAACACTACCACCATTTAAACAGTAATGCACAATGGACTTATCTCATTATGTGATAAACGTACTAATTTCACTACATCCCAGGAAGCATAATAAAGAACTATAAGAACCAGAAATAACCATAGGCATATCCAAATCATATTCAGGGTGCAGTATTTTTTGCAAGGAAGACAGATCAAATCAAATATGTTCACCGGTGGGCCTTTCTGCTTCCTAGAGCTCAGCACTACAGAATTATGAAAGTACTGTAGAATTCACAGTTGTATAGATCAGTGGTCCCAACCTTGGGCCTCCAGATGTTCTTGGACTTTAACTCCCAGAAATCCTGGCCAGCAGAGGTGGTGGTAAAGGTTTCTGAGATTTGTAGTCCAAGAACATCTGGAGACCCAAGGTTGGAGGACTGCTGGTATAGATGAAAGACCATCTCAATATTAATGAAGGTCCAGATCCTATTCTGTTTAGTGCACACATGCAGTTCCTTCCAATTCTACGTGCAAGACCAAGAGCAGTTTCTCCCTGTATTTTAAGGCAAAATCTGGCGTGCAGATCTATGTGTTCCATTCTAGAGACTGCATCAGTTATGCTTTGTTTATATCAGTGCTATTCAACCCACCATGCTTCAGACTTACCAATACATGGAACAAAAAGAACTGTGCCCACCCTTTATTCTTCCCATCCAGTCTCTGCACCAGTTACATGTGTCATCCATCATTATATACGTTGTCATTGCCTCTCAATTAAGCAGACAATACTTCTGATTGGAGAACCATACAAAAAGCACTGCACAAACTATAATTGCATTCCAGTTAAAAGTGTGTTGTCTCTTAAACTGCACTATTCTATTTGTCTGTTGTTGGTATGAGCTTGATTGTTGACAGACTGATATGATAAGAATCACAACAACAACTGTTTTCAAGCCCTTCTTTGTCAGCCTCAAGTAGAGTAACCCCACTGAATCAATAAGACTTACAAAAGTGTTACCAAACTACCATTTTTTTCCAAGAAATTTCTCATCCTGTGGTAAGCACCAGTTATTCTGGTAAGCACTTATGTGGAACCCCATAGGCTGGGGGATGGGGGAGGGCTTTGATTCAGTGGATCTACTTGTACTAAAGATTGGATTTAGTGCCTTATTAAGACATACTGCTTGTCAAATGATGCCAACGTTCAAACCCCTTGAAGTCCTTGAATATAAAGAATCACCCAGAGTAGTGGTTCTTTATATTTACGTACTTAGTAATGAAAGAAAGGCACACTGTATCTGTTTAAGAACACTTCACTGTTAGTCCATATACAGTAATTGAAGACGTGTAACATAAATGAGGTTCTGAAGCTGGGCCTCATACTTGCAGGTGGGTTGGTGGCTTCTGGCTATCTTGCAACTGGAACAAGTTCCATGATTGTTAATAATGAAAACTGTATTGTTGACATCTTAAAATAGGAACCATAAAAATATAGCTCCATCTTGTGTCCCTGACTGAGTGCTCTTTAAGCAGAAAAGGAACTCATGCCATATAGTAATCTAAATTTTCATAACAGCTATTTTAGAATTATACTTCTACATTATTTATACTGGATAGTATTTTCTTCACAATAGTGCCAAAAAAGAAAAATATTCTTGATCCCAGTGGTAAAGAATCTTGGGCTTGGCTTGAAATTTTTTTCATCATTCATTGTTTTTGGAAAAAATATGTTGTGATCATATAGCTGACAATACAGTAAGTACATAAGACATGATTAATTCCCGTCCTCTTTGGACATAAAACAAAAACCCCAAGAAGTCAAAGGCCTTTCACTTGGATGGGCCAAGGAACAGAAGAAGGAAAGGTTCAAATTATTTCAGATTTTTGAACAAGAACAGTTCTTGTTCAAAAATAAAAAATACTGATGTTCTGTTGCCAGCTCTGACTGCTTCCAAGAATTTGATTCATAAAAATATAAACAAGAATAACAGCATCAAAAATCATAGCCAAGAAAGGCTGTGTTTTAATACAATTCTGCACTATGAATAATGTTAGAGTAACAAAAATTACATATGAAATGCAAAACATAGATCAAAACTGCCACTGTTTTAAAGGGTCACACAAGAATACAGTTTTAGAAGAGGTAGCCATGTTTTAGTCTCTGCAGGAGTATCAGGCAAGAAGAAAAGAAAAATAAAGACGACAAATACACCTCAGATATTAACTGCTATGTTTTAATGCGAGCTTTCATGAACCAGTTCACTTCCTCATACAACTTGTCCACAAAAGCTCACATTAAAATATAGCACTTAATTTTTCAGGCACCACAATATTTTTGTCTTCTTTATTTTTTGTTTTTCTTTTGATTTTGGCTGGTATACAAGAATATAGATGACACAACAGCGATAATCTGACCAAACACACTGTGTTTCCCAACATGTAATATATGCAATATTGTAAAATGGGACAGGGAACCTGAGGCTCTGGGGCCAATTTGTCTTCCCAGGATTCAATTTTTGACCCAATAAGGTTCTCCCAATAGCCACCTACATTTTCACATGACACCAGTACTTGGTGGTTTCCCCGGTTATGATTCTCCCACTCCCCATGTAAAAGGCAGAAATGCCTCTCCTAAGGCTCACTTTCTGGTAGTAAGAGATTGAATTTCAAATTTCCTGGTGTTTTTGGTCTCACCCTTTTACCCCGTCTTCCACTAGAATGCAGCCCTCAAGAAAATTTATGAAATTGAATTCAATCTGAAAGACATCCCCATCTTGGCTGCAATTATACAGGAGAGGTGTCGGACTATTTCAGAAACTTGAGCTGTAATATTATGTTCAATATTTGACAATCTATCTGCATCCACATATGGAAATTAATTTTTTCTAGTCAACAGTAAAACAGGCATTTGATGAAGATGGAATGGAACTGAACTTAAAGAGTTCAACTGTCCCTAAGAGAAAAAAAATACCACAGGATTCAGAATGTCTGGGATAAATTAAAAAATGACTATTAAATCTAAGAAATTAAAGCAAAAGGGATAAATAAAGAGAGAGACTGAAAATTCAGTATTCTCATATTTAAGCTGATTTCACTCAAATTCTTCAGATACATAATATGTATAGTTCCAAACCTCTGCATAAACATAGTCATAAAAATCCACTCAAATACAGGCAAGACAACATAAGACTTGTAAAAAATAAACAAGACAGACTTATCTGCTGCTAATTTCATGCATTTTAGTACAGGGTGACCAAAATGCAAAACTGGTAACATGTTATGGCTTGAGCACATTCCTTTGCCAACCTCCAAGATCTAACAACTGTACTAGTTTCCAAGTGCCAGAAGATATAGTTGATAATATGCAAATATTCATCATGGTTACAGATGTTCATGGTCAGGCACACTGCTGATTTTGGGTCAGATGAGCTGCTACATTCAGTGGCACTTAAGATACTATGCATCAAATACTGAAAATAAAACAGATTATTTCAATCACATAAGCATAAACTTATACCAAAAGTTTGCTAATTATATCATTGTTATCATAAATTTAGGTTACTTGTTCCAACATATACCAGTGCTCATATAACATGAATAATTTCCCCAAGAAACTGACGAAATGTTTTGGTACAAGTGTTTTCAATCTGACCAGTCATTCTCATCACATTCAGAGTCATCATCTGAATCACTGTATTCCACAGCAATGCGCCTAGAAAGAATGGTGGCCACATCATTTCCAACTGGCTCGCGCTTGGCTTCCTGTTCACGTTGCTCTTGTACCTTTTTCAGCTGGATTCCTGAAGTAAACAAGCAGATAGGTTATCATAACTTTTATGGGCAGTTTGCCTTTTAAGAATAACAAAGACTAAAAAATAATGAAAATATATTAGTGTTTGTACAGTGTTAGAATTCAGAGGCTATTATTTTAATATACATAGTGATATACAATGAAGACATTCCAAAACTTTAGCTATATCCCCTTCTTAATTGCTTTTGTGTATCTACTGAATATTTTTTAATTCTCATGCAACAGAAATTTAAAAAAATTGCATTGAGTGAGTTTGCATGCTATTTTATGAACCCATGAAAAGTCCAACATATTGAGGGAATAGCACTAAGGATAACACTGTAGTTTGCATTCGCGAAATGGTTTAATGTATACTTCATATATTTCTTGAAGGTACTGAGAATTCAGAGTCCCCCACCTCCACCCTAACTGGAATGAACCCATTGAAAACTAGAATCCATCCCTGGCATCAGTTTATCACAAAAAGTGACATTTTTGGTCTCAATACATCATCAGCTAGGACCCAAAAATACCACAATGGAAACTATCCATAGATAGGAGCAATTCCCCTTCCCCATTTTTACAATAAAAATTCTATATAAAACAGTTGAAACTTAGCAATGCTGTTTGAAACTCTTGGGGTAACAATGTTTCAGAGCATCTACATTACAAGTGTAGTGAATACTCCAACAGAATGTCACTCTGGCAGACTAAAATCTGGGACATGAGGGTTAAATGCAACTGAGAACTTAATCTACCACTGAAATCAGGCAGTCAATGAGAATATACTTACAAGAGAAAAGAAACAGTCTAGATACATCTCATGTTACCTAAGGCTATGGACTTATTTTTACTGCCATTGTATATATAATGCAATATACTGTACAAACAAGTTAATTGTGCTCCATTAAATGTTTCCTGTTAGACTTATACTGTATAAGCATTAGTCTTTTGCTGTTCACATCTCTTTCTCCCCGCCCCCCAACATAAACATCTATGCCTGCATCAGCCTACATCTAGGTGGACTATTTTCCCACCCCTCAGGACCATCCGTGGGGTCCAACAGCCCTCCAAATGAAACCAGAAAAGACTGGAAGACAACCTTAAGCATAAAAAAAGACATTTCTCTTTTCAGAAAAAACCCAAACATCCTTTTTGTCTTAACAAGGTGTGGAGGCATACAGGGAATACACAAACTGGATTTTATTTAAATTGATAAGATAACATTTGCCTAGTAGTCCAATAATCAACATGCTATATACTTTCATGAGATCGGATATCATACTGTGCCTGATCATTACATCTCGGGAGAACAGAAAGACAAGAATCCTCACCAACAAACAAACAAAAACAAACAAACAAACTCACTCACTCATCATGTAGTTATATAACTGTAATGCTCTAATTACAAATTAACCATCTGCATAATACATAGGTGTGGAAAACCAAGATTACTATGCTTAAAAATGCACACCAGGATTGAGACATCTTAGTGTGCCCTTACCCATCCGAATAGCAGCCAGAAGATCACTTCGAGCATCACTGATGGGTGCCTGCATAGGCTCATGTCGTTTTGTCTCAGCCACTGCAGGAGCATGCATCGGAGAGGAAGAGAGAGAGGATCCTGCAGCAGGAGGGCCTGGAGGGGGAGGAGGCGGGCCTGGAGGAGGGGGAGCTGTAACAACAAGCCCAGTAGAAGGAGGATGAAGAGCAGCAGAATACATAGATCCAGTCACTAGTCCAGTATGGGAAGGTAGCACAGGGATTTGGAGAGGACTAACAAAAGCGGTCTGTGCAGAAGGAATCATGGGTGGAGGGGGAGGCGGCGGGGGTCCTGAAGGATTGTAATAATCCACCATCTGAGCTGCAAGCATCCTATACATAAAATAGAACACAATATTTGTTAACTGAAGTATCAGCTGACAGATCTGCAATGTGCACCCATTATGGATGCTGTTTCATTATGAATTTGAAATTTAAAAAAAACAGGCCACATTACCTTTGCCTATACCCATTTTTACTCAAGCACCTTAAATGCATTATTGGGAAACAGTAATTTCTCCTTATCTATTTTGTTTAGCTATTTCATCCAAACAAGTAAGCTTCAAGTACAGCAACAATGTAACCATTCCACAGACATACACCCCACCAAGATTTAGAAACAGCAACTAATGGATAAAACGTGATCTTTCCTCCCCATCCCTCTTCTCTTTGTGTCTGTCTATCTTAGAGTGTAAGTTTGAGGAACTGGTATTTATTTTATGCAAGGCACTCTGAGAGTCTTTGTTGCATGAAGAACAGGGCAATAATGCTTTCAACAAATAATAAAACAGATTTTTACCCATAATCTGTTGGCACCAGTGTAACTGTGTCCAGAGATCCATCTAATGCTTGGGGTGGAGGTGGAGGTGGTTGCTGAGGTCTGTTCAGTGTAGCATGTCGCATTGTTGCAGAAGGGGGTCGATATTCATGTTCAAGGCCCTGGTTTGCGAGCATATACTGAGATCCATCTCCTGATCCATATGAAAGCATCATTGGCTGCTGATGGAGCGAATGATTTGGGGTTGCAGGATATGAGTAACTAGTAATATCAGAGGCATGAGATCTAAAATGCAAGCGGGGGAAAATGAGCAAAGTATGAATAAAATGTATTATTTTCACTACTTCCTTGTGAAAGAGGGCCTATTTAAAATATTATGATTTTTGCTAATTTTTAGTGAATCACAAAATTAGAGAAACAATTATCTAGCAACTACCAAATGCAGCTCATATTCACAGAAGCTGAATTTTCAAATCAACCCAAATTCCCAAAACACAGGAACATTAAAATGATGGTATATGCATATTTTCGCATAGTGGAATATTAGTTCTGCAGGGAAAGTGGTAAAGAAGCAACATAAACAAGAAAGGAAAAAGATGACATAAAACCTTAGAATAAGGCAGATTTCTAGAAGACTTTAATTTACTAGGAATTGCCTGTTTTCAGCAAATAAGTAATTTGATTAAAGAGGCAGAGAAAGAAATATTAGCTGAACAGAGGATTTATTTTAAAAAACTGCAGCTGAGTTCAACAAACTATGTTGTTGCAGCCGTAAGGTGCAGAAAGCTGCATTAATAAGACATATTGCGCCATGTTGTCATTTAGTTACAAAGGGTGTCAGGAAAGTAAAGTGAATTCTTATCATTTTATTCAGACAGGAAGCCAGGCAAGCAACAAAGCAACAGAGCTTTGAGTAAAACAAAGTAAAACAAACCCTTTGGGCATCTTGGCCTCTTTTGAGCCTCCTGCCTGCTCTTGTTTCTTTATGTCACTTATAAACTCAATGCCCATTTTCCTTCTCTCCCATTCTTCTCGTCTTGTCTTTACTTTCCTCACATTAATTTGCTGATGACGGCTTGGATTCAGCTTGTGTTTCTCCCTCTGAATCACAATGGGCAAAGTATAAATTCCTTATGAATCGAATTATATAGTTTGGAAACATGAGAATTTCAAATTGCTGCAGTTATACGATATGGATATGTTTGCATATTGATACACATTTTAAATACTTAAACAGTGCCTCATAAATATAACAAGAATTTGTGAAGTTGTATTCATTTGTTTTAACACAACAGTTGCCTTTATAGTCCATTCAAAGTAAAACAAATGTATTACATACTGGAAACAAAGAGAAGGGATTCAGTTTTTAAAAATGAAACCAGCTAAAGCAGAACAGTGGACATAGAAGATTGCAAGAATTAGTCCAGAAAGATCTCTCTCAGCTGCAGAGCAGAAGAGCTTGCCATCTGACTGAAAATGATACTTAAATCTGTATTTTGAGAAATAAGTGCTAAAATCATGGCAGCAAATCACTGCAAATTAAGACGTCAATGTAGGCATTTCTTGTTGTGCATCACGTCACATATGTAAGAGCCACTGCCTACCAGGGTGGATTTGATTTAAAACAAATTGATTGAAAATTTTAAAACACTGGATTTTCTGACTATTTAATTTTTTTTTAAATTTAAATTGTGATTTAAATCAATTTGATTTTTTAAAAATCTGTATTTTTATCTACCCTACTGCCTTCACTGACTTACTAATGCACAGGAATTTGCCACTAAGATTTACACTGATTGCATTACAATAACACATATAACTAATAGGATTTTTGCCACTGTGCTTTTGTAAATCACAGATCAATATTACAAAGGAAAATAAGTTATAAAGCACAACTGGAAAATCTTCTCCTTATGCCAACAAGACCATATGCTGGATAAGAATTCTAAAGATACCTGATAGTGGCAATGCCCTTTAAAACTTGATTTCATGACATTTAACTTTTGGCAATTCCTTTTTGCTTTAATGGCCTGAGTGTTAAAATCACTACAAGGCATAAACAAGCAATAATAAATGTTAGTAGAATTATGAAACCACAGTAGGATGCACTACAGTGTTTGTTTTTTTCCTTCCAAAGAACAAATAGAAAAACATCCATCTCAAGAGACTATTTGGCCAATCAATTTTAGCTGTTTTCCCTGTAAACACAGGCCTTCCACTTAGCTCAAACAAGAAAAATACTAGCGACAAGTAAAGCAGTGCACATTGAGAATATTTTTTTTGTTCAAAACATTATTTTAAACAAGAACAAAACTTTGCAATTCCTCTTTGAATATAAGCTGAACACTGATTAAAAGGAGTTAACTCAAGACTGTCTACCATAGTTGTCTGTATGGTATTCTAATCTAGAAGACACACAATCAACAAACACAGGTCCTTCGGATACTCTTGAAGATATACGTTAGAACATACCATATTTTCCGTGTATAAGACACTACTTTTTCCTAAAATCATTACACTAGAAATTGAGGTGCATCTTATACACAGAAGTAAGCTGAGATAGCTGTGGAGAGAACAAAAAGACACATACTTTGCCTCTTTAAACAGGCTTCCTTCAGTCATGAGGCTTAGCTTCCTACAGTCAGGAGACTTAGCTTCCTCCAATCACGAGCCTTATGGAACTGATGTCAACTGATGCTGAACAAACCAACTGGACCACACCTCGCTGGAGGTAGAGGCTGTAGGCTCAGATTCAACAGGGAGTCCTAATGTCTGAGTGTTCTGAGCCCAGAGGCTGAATACTCAAACCTAGATTTCCTTAATTTTGGGGCTAGAAATCTAGAAAAGTGTGTGTTTCTTATAAATGGGGCATGTTATAAACGGAAAAGTACGGTATATGGAATGTTTTGCTGTAATTATTCTTAACCTGTAACAAATTGAAGGATACTGTACATAAAACAAGAGTCTTGCTGTAAACAGACCTAGTATCAGGGGACAGAGATCCCTCGGATGATGCTCCATGGTATACATTTTGAGACAACCTGTTGTCTGGTCTAAGCTCTTTGTCATATGCCATCATATTCCACTCCTGGCGCCTGTTTCTTGCTTTTCTAACCTTTTTCACCTCACGAGTTGTGCCATCTATACGCTTTTGCTCCTAATGTTACAGAGAGAAAGCGTGCGAATGGAAGAGACAAGGAAGGAAAGTACAAATTAAATGCTGTTAAAAGTATGAAGAACAGATATACAAGTGAGCCAAGCAAACTATAATGAAGACATGTATTAAAGATTCCACAGGAAGTTATTTAGTGAAGAGAAATCAGGTGTGTTCTAACATATCTAGCAAGCTTACTCATATGTACCCAAGATGTGTGCTTTCCCACAAAAAAACTATTGATGACGTTCTGGTTTACACAACTTGTTTTAAAATCCCATCAGAGCATTTCTGATCATCTTGGTGTCATACAAGCAAATAAAAATATTCGCAGTGTTTTGGAGAAAATGACATCAAAGTATTTTCCCACTGTACACTAAGCATCTGTACAGATGTGTCTACAGACAGTAGTAACTTTATTTTTTCCTGCAGTAGAGCAAACTTGGCTTCCGTCCAGATGTCATGTGTATCTATGAAAGCAGCTCTGCCTTCCTCTTCATCTCTCTTCTGGAAAGCCTTCAGGCTGCTTTTTTTCTCTTTTTCAATAGCTTTGCATATTTATTTGATAAGATATGTGTTTGGTCTTTCAAAGCCAAGTCAATGTTTTTATAGTTAAACCAATCTCTGAAGCAAGGAAAGTGACTTCACCATTCATATGAAACCCTCTGACTAAAGACAGAGACAATGACTGAAATGTGGGAAATATGTGCTTTCTATGCAAACGTACATATGTTTAGAAGTATGCTGATTTTTAGGCAGCCAAGTTAGAGCAGAAATTCTCATGGTATTTCTCCTTGTGAATTAAGTCACCACTTATCAGATACATAATATATCAGATTTCATGAATTACAGGGGACAAATTGATCACATTAGAAAATACTCGAATACAAAAATCCTGTGTTTAGGAGGCACTATAATAAAATAACTCCATTGGAAAGAAATGATTAGATTTACTGGCTTTAAATAAACCCAGTTAAGAAAAGCCAACATTAAAAGAATACGAAATATCCTGTGGTCATACAGTTTACTCACAAAAATTAAACAAGGTTTTCCTCTATATTGTCCAGGTACTCTTGGACAGCACAACCTATTTCTTGATTTAATCAGCATAATTTCTGAACAAGTTTTATCATTAAAAACCCTGACTCACCTTGTAGATTACCTACATTAAGGTGAGGGGCAAAGGAAGCATGACTTACTAGCCCTCGAATGTCCAGTATCTCTGTATAATGTGGATAAAAGACTTTGTAGTACTTTTATATTTCAAACACCCATTTTGTTGCAAAGTTTGAAATCCCAGTCACTGAAAGATCTATCAATTTTTCCCATCACTGGGCCAGAAAACATGGTGTTTCTCATTTATCTAGACTTCCAGATCCAGGAATGTGGTGTACAAATATTTAAACAAAATTATATGACATAACTTGATGTGTTTCTAGCATTTGCAGACTTCTTTATTTAATTGCTTCTCTTTATTTTATCCTGCATCTCAATGTTGTAATCTATCAGTGGCTTTAGAACTCAAGTATGACTATGTTCAGATAGTATATATCAAAAGAACGAGAGTTTATTTTCTATGAAACCAATGATATTATTGCTTAGCTACATAAGCAGATATGGAGAAATCAGGTGGCATTTTTCCTTCATGATTTCATTTACATGCCTTGCACTTTTAGACAGTAAACATCATCCTTCATTCATTCATATGTACGTGGACCACTGTTTATCTATGATCTAGCTATGCTAACTCTTTAACAGTAGAAGCATTGTACCACAAACCTTCTAAAGCTAAAGATATCTGCATAGTTTTAAAAAGTAAACTCCAGAGTTCACCTTTTGCCTTCTCTTCTCTTTTCTTTTGTCTTCTGTATCTTGCAACATTTTTTCTTTCCAGAGGTCAAAGAAATAGGAAGGATCCGTATAGAACTTTAAGCCGTCTTTTTTATCATCTCTGCAAACAAAATGAACAAATACTGGAAGAACAATAGAAGCTTGCTTAACACACAACAGTTTTCCTCACCACTGGTCTATTATGAGTAAGCACCAAGCCTGCTACTTCAGATGAGGAAACTGGAGTGTTTGTTCATGTGCATACTTACTATTTCTCATGATACTGGTCAGATAATTCAGATCAACATAATGCAAATGCTATTTTTCTAAAATAGAACTCTGAAGTGCAAGCCATTCGTTTGCAGCTATGCTCAGAATGTAGCACAAACTACACTAGCTTAAGCAAAGATACCCACTGGAATAAAACTGGTCCTTGAATTAAGTATGGCATGATAAGAATTAATATTAGTAACACTTTTTAATGTAAATACACAGCTTATGAGCATTTATCACTTGTCAGCTTTGGCTGACAGATCAAATTACTCCTTCTCCTAGACAAGGATAACCTGGCCACTGTGATCCATGCATTGATAATAAGACATAAGACATAAGAAATTTATTTGTCATTGCGCTCACAAGTGGGTGCAACGAAATGAGGTGCTCTTCCCCAAGGTAAAACTGGACAACACTACAAAAAAAAGTTAAAATATACACAACTTTCACCATCCAAATATAGATACCCCGTTTTCTCTCAGCAATTAAAATCCACCAAAAACCTATGGCCCCGCATTTAAACTCAATACTGCACTTGGGTAAAAACTGTTCTTGAATCTGCTTGTCCTTGCTTTCAATACCCTGAATCTCCTTCCTGATGGTAATAGTTTAAAGAGCTGATATCCCGGATGAGAGGAGTCTTTCAGTATGTTAGATATCTTCCTCTTACATCTGTTCTTATACAATTCTTCCAAAGAGGGGAGTGAACAGCCAATGATGTTTTGGGCCGTCTTGATCACCCCTTGAATTGCCTTTTTCTCTGCCACTGTGCAGCTCGTGAACCATACACAGAGACATCTCACATTTAATTACCTTAATGCATTTTATGTGGGGTTACCTTTCTGCTGGAATCAAAAATCACTACCCTGCTTCCCTGAAAATAAGATCAAACCTGAAATTAAGTCCTAGTATGATTTTTCAGGATGCTCATAATATAAGCCCTACCCCAAAAATAAGCCCCAGTTAAGTGAAACCCCGCCCTCTACCATTGTGCAGCAACCAGAAGAAGATGACATGACTGTATTTGAATAAATGTAGATTGCTGTACATGAAAAAATAAAACATCCCCTGAAAATAAGCCCTAATGCATTTTTTGGAGCAAAAATTAATATAAGATCTTGTCTTATTTTGGAAGAAACACGGTACATGTACTAACAGTCTGACTCATACTGCTTCATTTGTGCTTTATATATACTTCAGCTAAACTAATCCAAGATTAGTCTTAGATTAGTGTCTTGAAGACCCATTTAACACCAAGATCTAAAGAAAAGGCACATAATGTGATGGAAAGCTAGTTACTCGAGACCCTGAATACCCATCATGCAGCGGTCTTTTTCTTTGAAGACAGGTATTCACAAATGCTGCTGTGTTGATTTTTTTTTCACTCTCTGGTTAATAGCACTGAGTCAGGGATGAAGAGGTGATGGTTTGCATTAGACAAATGGAATTGGGCCAGAATACTGAGGGGAGAAGGACACAGCCCTCTACAGTTCTGATCATATAATTTTCTCACTGCTGTTTCTAGACAAGAAAGGAAAATACTCACTCAGGTAAATGGTGGACTCAGGCCATGGAACCCTCACATCACACAGTCTGACTCTGAGCTAGGGTGCAATAACTGTCTCCTGAAAAAGCACTTGCCTACAGGCACTTGACTGCTTCTTCAGTTTATCATGTAACTCTGCTCTACCGTTGGTACTTACAATTCAAATATCAACAACACTCAAGGTCAAAATGTATGTGTCTATTTAAACTCGGCATGTTGTTACTAGTTTTCTTCTGCATGATTTTCATTTAATAGATCAAAAATAAAAAAAACCACATCTTCACAAAGGCCAAAAAAGCAGGACAATTTAACAATTTCAAGCTACTGTACCTATAGGAAGTAAGAATATTCAATGGAGGTGGTTTGTCACTCTGATTGTAAACATCTGCTACAGGGTTAGGAATGCTGCTCTTTGAAACCACCTGCTGGTCCTGTACAGTAGAACTTTTGAATGCCTTTTTCATGTTGATATCCTGTAAAGAGACTATTAAGGGGGAAATGAATATAAACAAAGTCAGAACAATAAAATGTAACTGCAAGAGTAGACTATCTGTCCAGATGGGCGGGGTATAAATCTAATAAAATAAATACATAAATAAATAAATTAAAGTCTAAGATGGATTTCTCCTCTTGTATCGTTTCTCTTGCCCTGGAGCTATTTATATTAATATTATTTATAGCTATACTAAACTATGTTTTAGAACCATAGTGCACAAGTGTGGCTCTTTTATTTTAAATATTCTATATGAACCTGCAAAATAAGCTTAGATACACAATTCTAGATAGTTAACAGAATGTATGCCTTTGCAGTTATCTAGGATAGTTATCTCAATGAACACAATCTCATTCTATGAATAAACGTAAACCAGTGAAATAAAAAAGAATTATTCTGCATCCAATACAGTACTAAACTTGACATGTGGCACTAGGTACAAGGAAGAAATGTGTGTAACCATAAACCTGTTCTCAATCAAATACTCTGGAGGGCTGTTTTTCTCAGCATGACTGCTACTTTAAGCTGGTTTTTTTCCATATGTCCATTCTGCATGCAGAGAGCTGAGAAGACAGTGCTATTGGAATATGCCTGACATACTACCACACCACTGACTCTACATAGTACATGTAGATGTCTCTTTCCATACTCTCAGCTCTATGTATGGAAATCCTGAACAACTGCAGGACTATACCCTCCACTAGAGTGAACACATGCAAGAAGTTCCAAAATTTATTATAATAGCTACCAGAACCTGGTTCTGAAGGCCGCCTGCTCTGTATAGCAAATAATTTAATGTGAATGGACTAAAGTTATACTTAGATCAATGCAATGACACTGTCACTGATCCATGAGAAGCAGCCTAGTTTCAACGAAATCAGTAGACTTAAACAGAGCACAGGCTATATACAGTGGTACCTCGCTAAACTACAACCCCGCTAAACGACGAATCCGCATAACAATGACTTTTTGCAATCGCTATAGCGATTTGCAAAACAGTCATTCCAATGGGGGATTTTCGTTGGACATCGATTAGGTCTGTGCTTCGCAAGCCATTTGTTCCCAAGACAACTATTTTTCAGCTTCGCAAAATGGCTGCCCTGTGTTTTCCAGACCCATGCTTCGCAGGGCAGCCATTTTTACAGCTTTGGCGCTTTCAAAATGGCTTCCCTATGGGCAATCTTCACTGGACAATGAGGTATTTCCCCCTTTGGAATGCATTAAACTGGGTTTCAATGCATTCCAATGGGGAAAGGGTTTTTGCACGACAATTTCGCTAAACAGCAATTTTCACGGGATGGATTATCCTCATGCGGGGCACCACTGTAGTATCATAGGACCAATTTTCTTTGGTGACAGCTTACTCTAAAGTAGTTCCATTTGTAACAATGGGCTAAATCAATCACTTCTTAGGATAGATTCACTGAAATGAGACTGAAGTAAGTGGTAACAAATAAATCTCATTCATTTGAGTGAGTCTGTTCTAAGCAGGATAATGTTAGATTTTGCCTGTGTTACTCTTCTTGAATAAAAGGTTTAAAAGGCCTCTGCTGGCATTCTTCATCCATATACAGTAAATTTAATTAATAATAATAAATAATGAAAACAGAATCTGCATGCTTTAAACTGCATCAAATAATAGATGCGGTTTAAAGCAAGTCTTTTACAAACATAGAAAAGGGGACGTACTGTATTCTTCACTGGAAATATTAAGGGGTAATAGTTTTAAATGTCCCAATTCCATGCCTGTCTTTTTTAAAAAGGCAAGGCAAAATACAACTCAATGCCAACTCCAAAAGAGAAAGTAGTGATGGTTATTGAATTAATACTCTTGTCAATATCAAGACTGGCTCAATGCTCAAGTACAGTTACCTACCTTCTTCCACGGTGGAATCTAACTGAGTAACTTTGACAGCAAGACGGTCAATTCTGTCTTGAAGGGAATTTGCTCGGATGTAGAAGTTGTTGGCTTCATTAAACAGCTCACCAAATATGTCTTCAGCATGTTTGCCTGAAGGGAAACATGAAAACATCTTCTTAAGAATTTTAATCATTGTAGTACTTGCTGGTCCTAGATTTTTGTATAAAGAATTATAAGGTTTTATTGGAAAGTTAAATTTTGTCACTATAGTGGTGATGTTTTTCACTTCATTGAACCCTATGATTTCAGGATGCATCCCTATGGCCAAGAATACTGCAGGCACCCACTCCTAGATCTCCAAACTAGCATGGAGAAATAAAAAGAACAGAAAAAAAGTAAGCACATCCATACAAAAACAAAACCACTCTGCTTTTCTAAACTCACCATAATATAGGGACATGCTATATGAGACATCATAGGATAAGAATTCAGAGTGACTGAGCACCTATCCTATTGACTCTCCCTTTTCACAAAACATGAGTGCTAGGATTCCTAGCCCCAAAGCACACTGGATAGCTGAGATAAACTTTAAAGATCTCAGACTGTTCTACTGTTCATAAAAAAGTAAGACAAAGAAAAGGATTTTTAAAACCATCCAAGGACTTACTTAAACTGCTTAGCTGGCGTATAATAGCAGCAAGAGTACCATTGGTTACACATTCTAACTCACTAGTAATTCCTTCTGGCAGAGCTCCTCGGCAAAGGTGCCGAGGCTCGATGTTCCTTTTTACTAAAGGCATAGTTCAATTTCCTGTTGAAAGAAAATAACAGAACATTAATCACTCACCCACTCAGTAAAAATAGTAGTTACTATTTCTTTATAGAACAATAAGGTTGGAAAGCAGAAGTCCATACTGCAGAAGAACGAACTCTTGCCCCTTTATCTTAAGTAAATCTTAGGAAGAGTGCAAAGCAGTTTTCTTCCTTGTGGTGCCTTAGACTAGCCATTCTCAACCGAGGGCCTTGGCACATTAGAAGGGTGCCACAGACTGAAATCTATGAGAAGGGGAGCCCCAAGAGTTTGTGGAGGGCCCTGGTAACTGAATCAATGAAATACCCAAGCAGCATTTTTTGTTTTACTTGTGCGTGTAATGGTTTGTGTTATGTGCATGGAGTGAGCAGAGTGAGTCAGAAAGCTGGTAGGAGAGCATAATGGGACAAGTGGCAGGAGGAGGTAGGAGAGGCAGAGAGAGGTCTCAGAGACCTCTCTCTGCCTCTCTTGCCTCTAAGGGGCAAGAGGTCTGCTGGGCTCCTTGTTTCACTGTAAGAAGAGGCTTGTGACTCATAAAAAAAGCAAAGCATGCTACTTATACACCACCCCATAGCACTTCAAGCACTCTCTGGGCGGTTTACAAGTTAATTATGCAGATTACACCCCCCACCCACCCCGCAAGCTGGGTACTCATTTTACTGACCTCGGAAGGATAGAAGGCTGAGTCAACCCTGAGCTGGCTTCCTGGGATTTAACCCCAGGTCGTGAGCACTGTTTTGGCTGCAGTACAGCAGTTTAGCCACTGCGCCACAAGGCTCTTCTCATGTATAAGTCAACCAAGGTTTTTCAGATCAATTTTGAGACCTAAATTTCTTTATACACTACACGGTATTTATTCATTTTTAAAAACTATTTCCTATTTTGAAAATTAATTTCAGAAATAACAAGTCCATGTGTTTCTTGGGAGGAAAAAATGTCAGTAGTATTCTGTGATGTATATATGTATTCTATGGAATACAGATGTGAAGGAGCTGTAAAGAAAAAGGAGAAAGAACAGGGTGAGCCGTCCCCTCAACTAGAGACACCTGAGAGTAAAGAAGAAATAGAGGCAGGGAAGATAATAGAAAGTGAAAAGTTGAATGTAGAAGAGGAGAAAGAAAAGAAGCCTAAGGGAAAGAGAGAAAGATTCAGATTTGTCTGGTGGAAGAGAGAGAAGGAGAAAGAGGGGAGGAGTTAATTTTATCTGTGTGGGAGGAGGGAACAGGAGAGGAAGGCGGGAGGAGACAATTCAGTATATCAATGACAGGAGAAAGAAAGGAAGGAGGGGGAAAAGATTTGGAATATGATAGAATGAGAGGGTTGTTAGAGGACTTCCCGATATTTGTCAGATCGTCTTCTTCCACCTAGATCTACCCAAATCACCCAACATAGCCAGCAGGGACGGCTGAGGGGCCTAACGCTGAGAGAAGCCCGGAAGGAAAAAACAAGAAATCGGGCCTTCTCGGCAGTGGCCTCTTGGCTATGGAACACCCTCCCAACTGAAATTCGTCTGGCACCCTCTCTGGGTGTTTTCAAAAGCCATTTAAAAACTTGGCTCTTCAGGCAGGTCTTCCCTCCAGTCAATTAATTGATCCTTATTTTTTCTTTCTTGAGGTATGCCATCTTTGTAATATGCTGTACAGAAATAAGTGTTAAAACTGTGTTTTAGATGATTTTATATTGTCATATTGTTGTGTTTTTATCCATGTAAGCTGCCCCGAGTAGACGTTGTCTAGAGGGGCGGGGTAAAAGTCTAATAATAAATAAATAAAAATTAAAATAATTTAAAGGTAGGAGGATTACTACTTGATCTGGATACATCTAAGAAGAGGGGCACATCAATCGATCCATTAGAATGGACGCTGTGGTTTTTTCCACGGGGACAAGGTCCCTCGAGGAAGGTGATTCGTCCAGACTCTTCCTTCAACGACCCACCACCAGAGGGAGATTGGGCAAGGCACCCTTGTTGTGGAACAATCTGCACAGTTTGGAGTGCTCCAATGAGGAAGCCAACCGATCCAGAACGTTTTGGGCCAGCCCCTCTATGAATCCTGTCAATTCCAAGACAGAATTGTTATCCCTACAATACGGGCAGTTACCCGATATCAGTTTGTTTGAACCAGTAGAAGTTGCTGTTGATTCACCTAATGGTAAACCAAATAAACCTGTTAATGTTAAAAAGAGACTCAGTTGTCATTTCCCGCCAAAAGAGAGGAACTGCTTCAGATCTTTAATGAAACCAGTCAGAACATATCATATGGTTTCACTGCATCTCCGCAAAACCCATCTTTGCCTAGGTGTTTGAACTGCATGACTACATTTTCAAATGAAAGCATGAGCCCAAGTAAATTGGAAACAACTTTTGGATACCTTGCATCCAGACCCTTTGATTTCTTCAAAAACCTTTGAGAGAATTTCAAGAAGGGCAACACTGACACAAATTTTTACTCAAACATTACAGAAATTAGATGTTGGATGGTCAAGCAATCTAGATGTAAATTTCTAAGGGGAAGGGCCTTCAGCACACAAACTAACTTGTTTACCTGGTTGTTTACATACTGACCAATTAGAGGGAGTTTGTTGTTGCGGGGGTAGGGTAGCTCCACCTCTGTTTCCGGCCCTTCTGGCCATGAGGTGATTGACCTCCATTGTTGGCCACCATTCCTGCACACGCTTTTCAAGATGTAACACCTCCACACTGGCCCTCTGAGCCTGGATACCTCTCCAGCCACGTGGGCCAAGGAGAAGAACATTGTTTTGCTACTTTTCTCTTTCTGTATCTACCTGAAACCTTCTGAATGCTTATCTACGTGAGTAGAATATAGCTTGCTTTCTTTTATACAAAAAAAGGCCTCCTGAGTGTTATTTTAAGTGCTAGTGTTTGATGAGGGGCGGGTATTAAAAGGGAAGCTTCTAGCTAATTCTGCCCAACTGGCTGGCACTTCTTGCTGTGCTTTTTACTGGAATTCACACGAGTTTCAGTACCAAACACTCTCTCCAACATTAGACAAGTGTCTTGTTGTATCATACAAAATTAGTAAACTGATTGCGCAAACTGAAAATGCTCACAACATTGGTAAGTCACTTATTCTGCCTTCAGTGCCCATAATAATATCTGATGTCATGAATCTGACTGTGAAAGAAACAATTCAGGCAATTCCTTTGAGTAACTCCACTATTGCCAGAAGAATTGATGAGATGGCACATGACATTGAAGAGGTATTGGTCAGTTCAGTCCAACCCAAGAAATTCTCCTTACAATTAGATGAAACTACTTTACAAAATAACAACACTCTTCTTATGGCTTATGTGAAATTCTCAAATGGTAACAAACTGATAGAAGAAATGTTGTTTGCCAGGAGATTAAAACAGATACTAAGGGACTGTCTAATTTTTGAAGGAGTCGCAAGTTATTTAAGTGAAGACAATTTTCCAATTGAGAATATAATTACTTGTGTAACTGATGATGCCGCTTCCATAGTTGGTCAATACACAGGATTCATCACCCATCTAACAACCTTCTGTCTTTACTATCTATCGCATCATACAAAGCACTTAGTATCTAGGAACATAGGAGAATGCCTCAATATTCGCTTTCAGTTGTCATAAAGGACATAAACATAATCAAATCCCGTCTTCAGAATTGTCTTTTCACCACACACTGGTGCTGCACATCGAGATTAGGCGGCTTTCCAATAGAAACTGCCTTCAATATTTTATGACCCTCTGGGACACCAGTTTCCTTCATGTCCGTTAAATAACATGGAGGAAAACTTGTTTATGCTAAAGCAGATATATTTTATCTGACAGATATTTCTTTTAAATTGTTAAATAAGACCTTACAGGGCAAACACAGTAACCTTCTAGATAGTAAGGAAGCCATTGTTTTCTTCCTTAAGAAACTCAAAGTCTATTGATACAATACAGGATGCTGGGAATTTTTACAATTTCCAATTGTAAAACCTGAAGATGATCACAGAGTCACTGAAGGACAATGATCTTACAGTTTATGTGAAGCATCTCAAGTAGATACACAAGGATATGCAAGAAACACTTAATGACTTGTTAAACCTAAATATCCCAGATTGGATTTTTTTCTAAATTTTATTTTATAGGTTAGGTGTAGGGATAGGGGACATGGGATTGAACAGGGGTTGTAAATCAACATGAAAATTTTAGAATACTCATTCCTATCAATTACATTTCAAAAATACATAAGATTCCAGAGTAGTTTATTTATACACATTCTATTTCTAAATTAATCTTAGGCTTTCAATTATCAAATATTAATTTGCATCCTATTTCTAAGCCAATCATAAAATTTATGTCAACAATCTTCATAAGTCATCTTTCTTGTTGAGTCCAGCCATTCTGATCGTTTATCCATTTCCACTGTATCCAGGATTTTTGCTATTAACTCCTCTTGTGATGGATTCTCCAGGTCTTTCCAATGTTTAGCAAAAAGAATTCTTGCAGCTGTCAAGATATGGATGACTAAATATTTTTCATTGGATTTAATGAATCTGGGATTATATTTAGAAGAAGAAATTCAGGGGTTACAGTTACCATCTTGCAGTGGGGTTTGTTTGGGGTTTCTGAAGATTTTCCCCCCGGCTGGAATGGATTAATCACATTTCACTGCATTCCTATGGGAAATGGTGCTTCGATTTACAACCATTTTGAGTTACAACCATCTTCTGGAATGGATTAAGCTCATAAGTCGAAGAACCACTGTAAACTGGCGAGAGAAAGATCCAAAAATTACATTCAAAGTCTTAAGAATAAAATCCTTAAAGGCTGACTTAGTGAGCTATGGTTTTTCCTGTAGTGTTGTATGGAAGTGAGAGCTGGACCATAAAGAAAGCAGACAGCCGAAGAATTGATGCCTTTGAATTGTGGTGTTGGAGGAGGCTCTTGAGAGTCCCCTGGACAGCAAGGAGAAAAAAACTATCAATTCTAAAGGAATTGATTTTCAGAGTGATTTAAATGCACATCATCAG